AGAGCTGTATCTGTTTTTTTATAAGATTATTTTTCATGTTTATGCCAAAATAATAATTGTTTACAACAATAAAATATTCTTAGTATAGGTTTCCCTTGATGCAGAATCATCATATCAATAATAAAATAAAATTAAGTAGATATCTGCTATCTATTACGAGATTTACAATTTTGAAACAAAAAAAAGTAAAATCTCCTACTGTGTGCCCCCTCACAGCCCCCACAAAATAACCCGACATTCTCTTCCTTATTTTGATAGATAGCAGTTTTTCCTTAACTCCCCACAGCCTCCTGCACAGACCCTCCACGCATTTTTTCGTGACCCCCAGCGATCTTCCACCAGCCCCCACACTTCTTCTGGGGAACCTGACAGGGATCATACAGTCTTTCTCAGATCTTGAAGTGTATACAGATGTGTACGTGTCGTATATGGATTAATCTATTATTTTTAATCTGCTTTATTATTCAATAACTTTAAAACAAAACTGTCTTATCGACATGATTAATCTTATTGCCAAGACGAAATTTAAAGTCATTGCTTTTTTTTGTTTCAAAATTGTAAACTTCGCGATAGAAAGCAGATATCCACTCAATTTTTATTTTATTTTATTGATGTAATGATTGTGCATTAAGGAAAACCTAAACTGAGAATATTTTATTGTTATAAACAATTATTATTATGGCATAAACTATTGCTACATATGTATACACAAGTAGGTAAAAATTAACCAAATTCATGAATTCAGAGAATAGTAAAAAAAAAAAAAAGTAGAAAACACCTAGTAGATAAAAAAATGAATTAAATTCAAAATTAAAAAACTTTTAAAACAAGCTATTACTTATGGAAACGCGGGCTTTAGTTTAAAAAAAATGAAAATAAAAGAAGAAAAAAGTTAATTTGTTATAATCCTAGTTTTGCAATTTCACATGCTTTTAGTACTTCAAAATAAATGTGTGTACAAAGTGCTACTTTGAATAACTATTTGAAACTTCATCGTTTTATGTTTTCATTACTTATCTGCAATTATGATTTGTCCTGCTATTGGTACCTTCACGTCCCAGTACAAGTTCATGCCAAAATCAATGAGTCACACTACTACTTCTTGATACAATGTAGAAAAAGTTTTTCATCTCAATTTTAAAAATATCAAGCAAGCTTTTTTTGGCTTTTAATTCTGTAGGATTTTAGCTTTTTATAAAAAAAAAAAAGATAATAGTAATAAAAATGAATAACCTTGTTTGATGTCTCAAACAATTATTCAAAAAAATGATTGCCGTAAATTGTCTCAGTGTACCTGCCTTCAATTTAGCTTAAGCTACTTTATAACACTGANTGTGTTAGTAAAACCAACAAAAGCTCAAGTTGTTGTTGTTTTTTTTTTCCTTTTTTTTTCTTCTTGAAAGTTCGTGTACTTTACTTCATAATATATTATATGCCAAAAGGAAGGGTATATATTAATATAATGTAAGTACTTAAACAACGAAAGAAGGAAATATAAAAGGAAATTTTGATCCCAAGAACTTGACGCTTCTCCCCTTGGCCAATCACCTATGCAAACAAGAAAAGGAAGCATCGGGAGGAGAAGAAAGAGGAGGAGGAAGAGGCAAAGGAGTCAAGGAAAGCCCCCTTGAGAGCTACCTATACTCGTTCCGAGCGTAACGAGGCAACAACAACAATAACGAACGAACGTCTATACCCAAGAGAGAGGGGAGGGGGGAAATGCATGGAAGCGCCTGTTGCATGCAGCTCCGGCGAAGAGAGAACAGCAGGCGCACAGGCCTCGAACGAGCCGAGGAATCTCCATACCGAAGCAACGACACCATCAAGAACAGAAGAAGAAGAAAAAGAAGGATGAAACGAAGGAAGGAGAGTGAAGGAGGATGAGGATGAGGAGACCGTACAAAAGAAGGACGCGCGGTGTGGCTGTGCTGCACGCGAACTATATAGGTAGTAGTGTAGTAGTTATATAGGAGACGAGAGGACTAAGTAAGGAGGTGAGGAGGCAAGGAGCAAACGAGCATCAGCTCTTCTACTTATGTATTCTTTATCTGGGTATACGTATACGCCAATAAGAGGGACTGAGAGTATGGAATTGTCCTTGTTGTATATTTATTATTATTATTATTATTATTATTATTTTTTTTTTGTCATGAAGATAAATACTTTGAATTTAAAATGTTTATGTATTAAATTTATAGAAAACGACAAAGAAGCGGAGAATCGCGAAAAAGCGTTAAACAATCAAAATCAGAACGTAAATGCTCAGGAGCATAAGAGGGTATCCCAGCAACCTAGCGGGAATCCTGTTAAAAATTACGTATTAGAGCAACTTGCAAAACTGATGACGACGTGTATCATTATCAGAATAGAAGATTTCACGTTGTACAGGGTGTCAACGTCATCAAAAAAGGCTCTGCCCAAGGAATTCATATCAGGTATGTTTACACAATACCAATTTACCAAGTAGTAATTACCAATAGCGTAAAAGACTCCAAGTAACAACAAATTCGATTAATATGTTGAAAAAAATTTTAATTGGAGTCAATAAATATGTAGACTGTTTGATGAATCAATTTAAAAACGAAAAATTTATATTCACATAGCTCAAACGAGGAAGAAACACGGTCCAGGTACAATAAATGATGAAAATCTATAGTATAGCGTTGATTTGGATTTGTTATTGTGTTTTTTTTTTTTTTACTAACAAACGTTTCTTTACACTTGTCTCAGTAGTGATAGAATGTTTTGTTTACGTATTGTGTACGTTAGTCATCACGCAGTTTGCACACATGCCTGCGTACTGTTTACTGTACTATGTAGTTTGAAACGGATGCATTGCACCATCTGAAATACTCATTACATCTTTCTATGGGTCATTCCATTCATGATAGTAACAAGTTTACTTACTGTATTATTAATTATATTATTTTTTAGGTGACCAAGGCAAGTTTCCTTTGCCAGAAGACGTCAACATCATTCACGCTGAGTTTACTTACTACTATTATCCTGGCGATTTGAATTTTCCACGTGAGTAAAAATAAATAATCAATTAACAATGTATCCAATTGTTTTACTTGAAATTTAATTTGGTTATTTTTAGTGCCACCGCCAAAATTTTACGTGCAAGTGAAGCCTATTCAAATAAACTTTGACGTTTGTTCCTGCCTTTGGTTTAACTCGTTCTTTCTTAATTTGTATCACTCGCTTTTAAATAACAGTAACGGTATGACACACCCTTCTTCAGACTTGATGTACTTTGATGTAAAAATCGAAGCAATATTACCGCGAGTAAGTACACGTTTGTTCAAAATTTTTATGACATAAAGGTAAAAAAAAAAAAAAAAAAAAAATCGATCAACTTAACACTTGTTTTAGATAATATTCGAGAGCTTTCGAATTCCGTGGACCAAGTTAAAAAACGTTCCTATATTTTTGGTGAATAAAATTTTAGTAGTAAAATATTTTTTACTGTAAATTAAAAAAGTTATCCAATAACATTTTCATTTATCACTGAATAATATTTATTTTCACAGAAATTGGATGAAGTGAGAATTGAAATAGAAACTTGTGAAGACTTGAGAGATGTATCTTCTCCTCAAGGTTCATCATCAAATGCAGGTCCTACAAAGTACTCCTACATCCACAGAATAATTGACGGAATAACTATCGATGTTAACTTTGTTTGTGTATTGTTTAAAAGTCCAGCATTCATTGCTGAAGTCAAGGTAAATTATTTAAAAGTTTAGAGCTATTTGCAAGTCTTACTACTGATAATGAATGTAACTTTTTTATTGCACAGATTTCTAGAATATTAGTAGAATCAAAGTCTNTTCTCGCGACGCGAGCATCCCAGCCCTTGGGCAAAACGCACGGAAGTCGGGTGCACAGTTAGCCGAGGGTGGCAGAGACACGACATCTCGGAGCCGGCTTTTCCTCGTCCTGGCTGATCATAAAGTGAAAAGTTGAGTGCGCACCAAAGCCAAGGGAGTGGGAAGGAGGAGGATTGGTACACGGAGGGGGGGGGTGTTACGTGCATGCGCCACACTAGCGTGTGGAGGGTGAGTAGGTAGGTAGGTACACACACGGGGGGGGGGATGGTGAGGGCGGGGGCAGCTTGCAAGGTATTGTTGGTTAACGAGGTAACTCGACACGTTCGAAGATAACGGAGCTCTCGTGCGCCCCGCGAGTAAGTCACGTGCAAAAACTTTGCTACTGCAGCGGGGCGCGCGCCGGGCGGCCTCCCGAAGAGAGCTCACTCGGAAGGAATCCCGGCACGCGCGCGCGCGCGTCCCTTTTGCAAATAAGATTTATCGGACCGGCGTGAGCTGTCTTTTTTTTTCTTTTTTTTTAATTACCGTGAAATAGACTTGAGTCGAGTGGGTTCCGGCGGAGGAAATGAGATCCCGCGCCGCGGGTGAGCTTCGCGTTTGACAGGCTCTTATTTATCTTTGCGCTGGTAAGTGTATACGTGAATTGTGCACTCAGGCGTGTGTGTATTTCCGTTTTGAGATTGCACGTCACTGTGAAGCGAAAACAATCAATGACGGAGTTGAAGTTGACTTTGCGTGTCTGTGCTGTCTGTCAACAATTTGCCGGCGCGTTTTGAAATTCATTCGCCGGACGACTCTTGCATCATCGGGTGGTCAAAGGTGGGCGCCGAGCTGCTCCGAGAGTGGCAGTTTCAAGCCTCTTGAAAAAGTTATATCGCGCGAAAAGTTTAATTAACTCCGTCCGAGCAAAGAGTCTGTTTATTAACTCTCCGCGAGCCTTTGCCGCTCTATCGCCGGCGTCATTGTTCTCTTCGTTTTCGCCCGAGCGACTAGCTGCTCGTTGATATATATATATGTGATTCGTTTTTTTTTCTTTTTCAAAAGAAATCGTGTAAAAGAGGCTAATTGGGCGTGGAATTCTCGCTCACGACTAGTTGGCTGTAAGTGGGTCTCGCGCAGGTTGTGCATTGACATTTTTCGGCGTTTACAGAAACCTTGCGTCAACTGATAGTTGTTAACATGATTTTTTTTTTTTTTTATTTTTTTTAGTTATCTTCCAGCTATTAGGAGCGAGTTAAACACAGCGTGCTCAGGCGAAAAGAGTCCCACTTTCAGTGGATATGCCCATATATGGACTTAAGGTGTGCTCGGAGAGCTTCAAACCATAACGAACCACATAAACCATGAAATCTTTTCATTTTTGGTACGCCATTCTGACAATAATAGAACTTATTTCTATTCGCAACTACATCATGCCATTTAATAGTTTCATTTGTTTCTAAGAACTTTAAGAAGTAAAGGTACGTGTGCACTAGTTTACGTTTTAATAAGCGTATTGGGCCTTGAAAAATCGATAAAAGCACAAGCGTGACAAGCACAGCATGCAGAAGACATAACTGTCTTTCAAAGTTATCTGGAAGTTTTGAACTCAACAACAAGTTTGCAAGTTCTTGGATTAAAATTACTTTGATTGCGAGTATTCTATAAGAGAACTGCATACACATATATTGTAATTAATTTTGTAAATACAAAAAAAGTTACGTACCCTACATGCCAAAAAAGAATCGCTCCATCACTTCCACCACTACAGAATAAACCTTCATGACTAGGATGCCAAGCGACGCTAGAAGCTTCTTTTTTGTGACCTCGAAAGGTTTGAACTTCTTGACTTAAGTTCCGCAAATCGAAAAGTTTAAGTAAATGATCTCGAGAAGCAGTTATGAGCCAGTTACCATTCTCATTCCATTTAACATCCATAACAGTCGATTTATGTGCATGTAAAGTAGCTAGTGATTGTCCCATTTTCGGATCCCACAATTTTACTGGTTGTTGATTATCTTTACTACCCGAAATAACAAGACTTTTTTGTGGATGCCAATGTACACATTTTACATCTGCTCCATGACCTAAAAATAAAAAAAGTAATTATATAAAAAAATCGTAATTTTTTTACATGCAGAAAAAGTTTTTACCTCGCAGACTTCTTTCTTCGTGGCAACGTAGAAAGTCCCAGATTCTCACAGTGCCATCATCACTACATGTAGCCAGTTTATGATCGGTGGGACTAAAGCTGAATAAAAAGTTTCTAGTTACTAGTTTGTTTTATTTATTGTTACTTATTTTAGTTTTAAATATGCGCATCTCACATTTACACTAGTCAGAGAAAAATAAGATTCTATAAACAACAAATAAAGTTTTAACTGGGTATGAGCTTACACTATTGGTAATATAAACTTTTTTAAACAACTTTATGTATATTTTATGATTACTATATTATTTCGATTAACTTTCTTTTTATACTTCTGAAAACATCACTTGAATCACTTAAAGCATACATTTTGTATTGCACCTCAAACAATTAAAGCAATCAAAATCAAACGGCTACATCAGTTCATACAATGCAGATACAGATAGATTTCAATCAGCATTTTTTACGCAGCAATATAACCATTTATGAAATCTTTTTATACATAATTATAATCAATTAAAAATCACAAAATGGTTTTTTTCAAACCACTTTTTCTCNAGATTTAAAAACAATTGAGTAGAAAGTAAATGAAAGACAACTACCTTCGTTGCTGGCATTTACGCAATAATATATATGACGCGCATACGTAAATATATATGCATAAGTATAAACCCACCCCCAGCTCTCAACCCTTTACATATCTCGTAAGAATGCCATCGTGACTGCCATCACTGTCGATCAGAACGCGTTCGAGGATGGTAAAGTTGATTAATCGTTGACAAAGCATGATACAAAGAAAGGAGTATCTAAGTACACATATATGTCCAAAAAAAAAAAAAAATGTTTCAAAATCTAATTAATCTTAAAAAAGGTTGTTACTGTCGATAATAAGCTTTTTTTTTTTAAAAAAAAAATTTATAATTTTCAGAGTACCTCTAACACATTTCTCACAACATTACATTTCAAAAGTTATTAATCGAATAAACGTAATCTCCTTTACAGTTTGTGGATCGAATTATTTACTTTTGCAAAGATTAATGTACTATCGTAATCAGTTTACTCGTCGAAATACTTTTTATTCCGCACTTGACGCTGCTTCAAATAGTCCAACACTTTTTTCTAAATCTTTAATAGTATTGTTAACGTACTACTGATAAAAAAAAAAAAAATTTTAACCCATTAAATTTTTTATTTAAACATTAAACAATTAATTTTACATATATACGTGTCATATTTATACAATTTTTGTCTCTAAACTTTTTTGCATGCCTTCTCCCGCGTCTCTCCTTCTCTTGTGAATGTTTTTGTGTGGCACTTGTGACAGGCCAAGAGAAAGGTACTGGCATATAATATTTTATACTAAATCTTAAAGTAGCGAATCACCATGAGTTTGAGCATGAGGTTAGACGATTTAGACATTAAATTTACAATTTTCAGATTAACAACGTATATCGCTTAACACATTGTTCTCTAGGCAATAAGTATAGTTAAGCAACAAATGAATGCATAAGTAAATTATTATTCTGCACCTGTAGCTCTAGAGTTTAATGCAAGCATGCTAGTGCAGTGATTTTGTATGCATACGTAGATTTACACATAAATACACGATTTTGCGTTGGTTGTTATTTTTAAACACACGTGTTTTACAACACAAATACACTCAACAAAGCTTTGGTTTTTTTTTTTTTTTTTTTTTCATTAAATAAATGCAAGTCACTGTAACCAGTAGATATGCAACAATATTAGAAAAACAAAAACTCGAGCTCACTGCTTTGACAAAACAGATATAATTGTTAAATCAAATCGAGTACCGGCGTATTTAGTACTGATAGATTATCGCAAAGTACTAAAAACGCTGACCCTCCAATACCGATAGTGATGAAAAAAAAAGGGCAATAGCTCTCGTAAAGAGTTTGAACCTAGCAAAACAGAGAGTCCTAGCTCGAGAGAAAAAAAAAGTTCAGCTTAACCACCAGCGCTTCTCTCTCCCTCAGACAAAATTCAGTTCCCGGTCACGAGGTTGGGTGGAGCTGCCGACCGATTTGGACTACCGATCTCGCATCAAGTTGCGCCTGGAACACGGGCTTAAGGAGCCCGCGGACGCGAGACGATTGTCGGAGGTGAGCGTAGCGACCAACAGCAGCGGCAGCAGCGGCAGATCGTCCCAAGACCGAGGCAGGCCGACCGAGCTCCAGCCTCCGTTCAACTTTTACGACAAGGAGCGCGTTTTGGGCTTGTTCGAGGATAGGATCGACGTCAGAGTGGCCGAGGTGCCGCTCACCATGTCCATGAGCTTCGTCACTGGATTGACCGACCTGATCGAGGATGAGATCATACCCAAGCCCATACCCCTCAAGGTGGGTGTGTTTTTCATTTATCTTGCTAAATCTATCAAAAACCGAGTAATTCAGTGGTCTCGTCTTTGATTGTTGCGGTTCAGGTATTGTTGGAGAACATCAAGTTGCGCTTGAATGAAGACCGTCCGCCGAACAATATCACGTCACCAGGTCCGGTGCCGATAGACCTGAGCATAGCCAAGCTCAGGATAAGCAGAGACACCGCCGGTGTTTTTCACGTCGAGCCTATCGGTGAGTAAACTTTCGATCCTATCACGCGACACAACAATACAAACTACCATTTATTTGCAAACTGCCACTTGTTCTTATGTAGTAACGTTGACGTATGAATTCTTTTCTTTTTTTTTCAATACATCGTTCTCGTTATTGAATAAACATTTTTTCTTTTTTTTTCATACCAGTAACGAATAGCCGTTAAATAAAATAAGCGTTGAGAGACAAAATTCTAGATCGTAGACATTGATTGACTATGCGCTTCGTTGTTTTGTTTCATTGTACTTATTATAAGTAATCCAAGTGGCAGGCATTTTCATGTATAAGTATATTAATTTTTATCTTACTATATTATGGCGTACATCGTTGTGTTCTGTGCACTCAGACGGCCGTTCGAATGTGAGCATTTTTACTACACCAAAAATCGTAGATTGTTACTGTATTTCTAGCATATATACGTACTTGATTAGCTTTTAGTTTTTTTTTTGTTTTTTTGTTTTTTTTTTTTTTTTTGGTTTTTTTTTTTTTTTTTTTTCCAGTGGTCGACTACCCCGGGACTCTCAATGCAATGGATTTTATTCGTCATGAAAAACGCCGAGGTCTCGAGAGTTGGGATAAAATGGATCTGAATTGACTCGACGTCCAAGGAAATTCGTACTTTGAAGTGTTGAGTGCTGGCGCTTTCCGAAATGAGAAAAGAATTTTAGGTTTTTTTATAAGAATTGAAACTTTTGCTTTGCATCCGAGATAAAACTTAATAATTAGCTCTAAATATACTTGAAATTAACGAGTGGCTCGTCAAGACTTTTGTTCTCCAATAAAATTTTGATGAAGACAACTAAATTGTTTTTTTTTCTTATCAGGACACAAACTACTTTCTTATATTTTTCATGTCCATGTGTCCATGTAATGCTTTTCTATTCAAACTTGAGCAATTAATCTAATTAAGAATTGAATCAAATCTATTCGCGATATGATTAGTACATGTTGTAGAATTCAAGTCTGAAATAAATGATGNGTGGGCGAGCCGATGCATCCAGAATGACAGGAAGCTGTAGCACGGCGTGTTAAAGAGGTGTATTGAAGTGTAGTGGATATTCGAAGTGCGTTGTCTGAGTCTCGGCATTCGGCGAGAGGTTAGCTGTCTGTTGTGGTAGGACTTTGGTGTATGCATGTGTGTGTGTGTGCGCGCGCGCGTTCGCGCAACGTTGTCTGCGACTTGGCAGACCGGCTGGTGAATCTGACGGTAGGACTCCCTGCGGATAGAGAGGATATGCAGTATGGGCTCTCGTCGTCGAGTTAATACGTGAGGTAGCTCGTGATCGAAGGTGTTGTATTGTGGCCAAGTGTTCTAGCGATCAAACCGGGTTGTCGTAACTTTGGTGCTAGCCATTCTCTAAGTCTCATGTAGAGAACTTTGTGTGCGTGTGCGTGTATGTATGTGTGCTGGTGTGGGTGTGTAAGTATAGGAGTGCGTGTGTAAATCTGTGACTTGCGAGTTAGCGCCGAAGAGAGCGACAATTCTCTTTGAGGATTAATCTTATGTAAATGAAATAAACAAGTTAATCTACAAGTGAAATTTGTGTTAGTGTATTAATTTGTACAAGTGTGTAATGTGTATATTCTAGTCATCTCCCTCGGGAATTGTCCACATCTCAACGGACAGTCCGCGGTGGGGCCTCCTCTAGGTGAAGCTGAGCCAATCAGCGGTGTCAAAGAGTACAGCGAAAGGTGTGTTGAATTGGAGTGTTTCGGCGTTTTAGGTGTTGTAAGTGTTCGGTGATGTTTTAGTGCGTCGCATCGGGACAGGTTCTCGTTGACGTGAAAACGTCGTGAGGGCTTGCAAAACACAACGTTACGTACTGTTCATTTCCAACGCAAAAAAAACGTGTTTTTCCATTTTTGCCATTATTTTTGAGGCCTTAGCGAAAAATTTTTTGTTTGATTTTATAACAATAGATTAGCACTTTTTAATTCGACATAGGATATTTTTTTTGAGCTAGTCTGAATTTCACGAAAAATTACCGACATTTCAGCTAATTCGATCCCACTAAATAGCTTGTAAAACTTTTTCCTTATAACCTCACTCAGAGATACTTTCTATTTACGTGCTCAGTGTACGTTTAGCGTTCCGCCGCGTGGTGGTGTGTCCACACCCAACTAGCTGAGTGAATACTAAGCGCTCACTCAGCTTTCAGAGGAACAAATTTCGTTCACTCACAAATCCGAGTGAACGCACTCGACGGGCCGTACGAGTGTCTAACCGACACTGAGAAGATCATACGTATACATACGTATTACATACATACATGGATGTACATGATGTTTATCATTTTACTTTGAAGGGTGATAGCATTGCTGTCGTTACTTGTACAAGAAATCAAATTTAAGTCATAAGTGTAAGACGGAATTTTTTTTTACAAAAGTTTATTCCATCAAAAATTCGTTCAATAACTTTAAAATTTTTTTAATTCATCGCACTAGACTTTACTATCGATGCCTAGGGGCAACGTATAAACAATCGTTGTAATATAATGAATTAGCAGATGAAATTTTGGTTTTAAATGGTCATACACATTTAAATACAATTTATGGGGTTCACTTCTATAAGGCTCTAACTAAAAAAGATCAGTCTTAGATATTGCAAAAGTTGTTAAAATGTGGATGGTATTTCGAAAAAATATATGCAAATGCAATGCATTGTAAGTATGCGACACTTTATTACCTGTAATTAAACTAAAATTTCTACGAAAAAACAGTGATTCTGCTGTTGACATCATTAATTTTTGGTATTATTTTACGTAGATTATGTCCATCAGCAAACGGCACGTTTTTGTTTGGAACACCAAAATTTTAAGTTTTTAACTCATTATGTATAAAATCAACTGTTAAATATTTTTTTTCTGTGATAGTTATTAAAATGTTTGCCATAACGTCATTAATCACAACTGAAAATACATTATGTATTATATTCAAGCTTCTGTTAACGATAACCTGATTTTTGAGGATTTGATTGAATACACAGGCTTCTTTGATATTTTTTAAATTACTAGAGTATTTTTTAACGTTTCTTAAAAGAGCTACGTTTTGGCTTGTTAATGATTTAATCTCGTTACCATACGTATTTCTATCATGAGTATAAAAAAG